AAACCAGGCGACTCTGGAGCTCATCATGGATACTCTGCCGAACAAGAGTCAAGCTGGTTGGCATATTGCTACCATGTACGCTCTGACGCGAGTATCAGAGGACGAGGTAATATGCGAAAATCACTCTAAAAAACTACAAGGCAATATTGAGCAGGAAAGCTATAATTCAAAAAGCTTAGGCGCGGTCGTGTTATTTAAAGCCCGATTTAGCTACAAACCCAGGATCAGCGAAAATTTTGATTTCAGTTTTGCAACTTTTTGGTGAGGTTTCTTGTTTACATCGTTTTTAAGTTCAGTTTTGAATTTGAACAATCTCAAACTACACAAAACATAAGTAGTGAAAAACATTTTTAACCTGGATTAGCGCTAATCGGTTATCTAACAACCCGGCCATGGAAATTAGAGAATGAACTTTGGAGTAAATCCTGAAAAGCAACCATGAATTTTTTTGTGAGCGTTAGCCCAGCAAGGAAATTGGGAAGCACAGTAGTCAATCCTGTTGAAGTCAGTGGGCTTCGAAGCCACGACCTCCTAATTACTGATCATCGTTGCTGTACCGACTGAGCTGAGCTTAAGGGTTATTTCCATCGCTTAAAATTACTATAAGAATTAATTCTCAGCTATCAACTTCGGTGGAAATCGAGATCGAAGTGCTCAGGCTAATTCAGTAGATCGGGTATAGAGGATAGTCGCCCGCCGTCGTTCTGTACTAAATGGGTAAAATTATCAGCCCGGAACAGACTTTGGTAGCTTGACAGTGAACACGCGCTAGAAGTGGAAGTGGAGGTTCTCAATCTAATTAATGATTCATCGAGTTAAAACAAAGAAATTCACCGACAACCGTGAACGAGGTTTGGCTTTAATTAGTATAGATTTTGACGATTTTACTATAGATTTTTGACGGTTTTTTTTTGTTTCCAATTTGATGTGGCTTGATGTTATTAGACCGGTATCAAACGCAATTAAAACGTTCATGAAACTGTGTCAGCAGTTTTGTCCTGGTTTGTAGCAGTCTTTGTTTTAATGTCTGTGTTTTTTTGTAGCGTTTCATCGGAGACTACTCCCAAAGTCCCCTGATGGGCAGTGAAGTAGAAGATGCTATTTCTCGTTTTCAGTCTTCCCTCCAGAGAGTCTCTGAAGAGATCCAACAACGCAATGCATCAATGGAATTTCCTTATCCTTACTTGTTACCAGAGAGGATGCCAAACAGTATTGCGATCTAAAACAAAGTGTTGATTAAGGCCTGCTTCTAGATCTTAGTTTTATCCCATCCTAGAGGAAAAGGAACAGTTTTCAAGTTTGTGATTTTGTTACTAGTTTTCAGGTATGCCACTCAAACAAACCAAACAGATACTCCGTATATTATAGCATGGTTAGAAAACGTAGACTAGTGAGACCAGTAAGCTATCTACAAACAAATGGCCACGGTGCTGAACTCGAGACTAACAAGATCCAACGAATCAAACTACTGGCAGGGTAAAGAGCTTGAAGACGAGATCTGCGGCTCACAAGACCAGTGATTAGTACGTCGGCCAAGCTGCCTTCTTTAATTAAGGGTTACAAATTTCTACAATACTCAAGAATGACAATCTGTAATTTTATGCGTTATCCCATGATTGCCAATAAACCACGTCAATCAGAAGTTAATTAACTTATTATATCACAGAGAAAATCATATCACTGTGATTGGTTAAGAGCAGGCAGATACAATGTATTTTTAATTTGCACTGTAGCGCAAATTGATACAAGTGTAACTAATTATTTGCGCTTGAATTCTTACGATCACCTGTACAAATTGCTTTTCTAGATTCGGAGTGAATAGTGCTCCGCTAAACACCTCCGTTAACCAATCAGAACACGTGAAAAACACTATTCATTTGTGTGGTATATGAATACCAAAACTGCATAGGCAATGATATGAAGGCGAATGCAATTAAAGATTTACACTGCAAGTTGTATTCGAAAAGTTTCTCAAAATTGCACGAGCTTCTAGGCGAGAACAATATGATAGAATTTCAAATATAACAAGTAGAAAGATTGGCCAAATTTACTACTTCAAAATCTAATACCATACTCATTCAAATTACAAAATTAAACAACTGCACAGAATATGCGTAAATGTTGCTCGACAAGAAAATGGCGTCCACAGAGGCTGAACTGAAGTTTCGTCTCTACCGCGTGCTTAGTGGTGTTCTTCTGAATCACTTTTTTCCTCCAATGTCTTTAGAACATTATTTTATCAAAATGACAATAAAGCGTTATTTTAGTAGTGGCTAAAGGATCTTAACAAAGGATGAAAGAAACGTTTCTTTGGGCGGTTTCGCGAAATTTGATGCTCTTATTTCTTTTGTCTTTTGAAATCGAGAAATTAAAACCTTGCGAAATATTGCCTAGCCGAAATCGAGAAATTGAGAACGCTTGAAATTAACTAAGAAAGCATATTTATTAGAAACACTTAATTGTGATCTTTTTGATATAGGTGACAGAAATAATTACAACCTTTATAAGTTCCGTTAAGACACTTCGGTTAACAGAAGAGCTATAGCGAAACGCAGCTGCTTTGACAATACTTGTTTACGGTATATTCTCACTGAATGTAATAAGAAAATACTTTAAACAAGTATTGTCTCAATGAAGACATAATCCATACCAGCTAATGCAAATCGCAATCTCGTATCCAAGGTGTCTCTTGTAATACATAAAAAATAAACAGACTGTCAGTTGAATGAATAAATATATATTTTGGCACCGTCTGGTCATACAACTCAAATGGACGCTGAGCACGGCTATGGCCTAATTGAGATAATTATTTTCATTTCCCGCCCTAGTTAGTTTGATCTTTTTATTTATTTTCGTTATCGTACCCGGGAATACCGCACCTTCCGCTCCTTCTGGGTATATTACCATCAAGGTTAGCAGTTAATGGAAATCTTAATTGCGCACACGACACAGCTGCCTTATGTGAAAGGAAGGCTCCCTTTCTTTGGCCAATGGAAACGAAAAAAGAAAAAAGCAACTATTGAATAACGGCAGGTGGATCAACAATTTCATTCGACAGTTAATATTTTTCGGTGGGCAACGAATAAATTTGCAATTGACGCAAGTGAGGAATCTAATGTGTACTTTCAAAACATAACGCATGTTGATTGTGTTAATAATGCTTCGGGATTAATCGGCAACAATTCATTTCTGAACATCAGTTCTGAGGGTAGCAGGAGCCTGTAGAAAGCAACATTTAATTTGACATCAGACCTTTTTACATCTTTGACTATTCCACGGCTGTTAATTAGGGTGCCTCGGAAACAGAAAAACACCAAGCGAGTGACTCTGAATACAGGACGTGTCATAAACCATGAACGCGCCATTTGATAACGCCACACAAGCTGACTGCCTCGTGGAAGTTCCTCTCCTTTCACTTACTGGTGAACGAGTTGGTATTTTAGTTAACATAATCGCCAATATAGGGCTCATGTTCACGGCAATTTTGGGAAACGTTTCGATCCTTCTTAGCTTTGTGTTTGCATCGTCTTTACGTAAAACTTCGAACTATCTTCTGCTTGGCTTAGCTTTGACTGATCTTGGAGTGGGACTTGTTGTTCATCCATTGTATATCTCTGTGATGTTAAGCGTCTACGCCAACTCTGCACCGCATTGTACTGTTTTGGTTATTTACAGCATATCGGTCTCATTTTTAGCTGGCGTCTCTTTTCTCTACATTGCAATGATTGGCTTGGATAGATGTTTAGCAATCCGCCTGCACCTGCGATATGGACAGATTGTGACTGAAAAACGATCCGTCATTACACAGGGAGCTGTATGGGTAATAAATGGGTTGCTATGCTTGGTTTGGTTAGCAGGTTTTCAAGTTTACTCCACGTTAGCGGCTGT